ACTCTCATTTTACCCGCTTATGTGTCTAAAACCAAGGAAAAAAAATCTTTCCGTCTTTGTTACTGAAGGAACTCATTGTTTAAATTTCATGTTTCTTGCGTCAGTAGTTTAGGCTCTGAATCAGTCAGACAGTACATTCTTTATATGGGTATAGATTTTTTTTCTCTATAACCGTCATTGAACAGACAGCCCAATTTTGAGTTTACGACTACCAATGTTCAACTCATTAGACTTGTAAATGACTTTGTTGAACAAAATCCAGAAGATAAGGAAACCCCTGGATCAAGTATTGGGAGAAATTTTTGCCTTCGTGGACTTTTTGATGGAATTAACCCTCATTTGTGTTATTTAGAGAGAGAAACCTTCCACGGTTAACCTTACGGTAAGGTGACTCCAACCTATGATCCATCTACCACTGAGGATATTTTGCGTAAGCACTATGGTCGTACGAGGCGAGTGTGGAATTCGTATCAACCAGCCATAGCTGAGATTCGAACCCAGCGGTGGACAGTCGATACGAATGTGATACATATGTATAGATACATATAGATATAGTTTATATGTATAGATTGTAAAAAAAACTATATATATTAGTCAACATTTACTTCCGCATAAAAATCACATTTTAGAAAACCCCTGATGAGAACAAATGCTAAATTAAACAAGTTAACTAAAACGTTTTTAAAAGAATCTCAAAGAAAAAAAAATTGTATTAGGAAGGTTGTTAATAATCAATAATTAGGTGTATTGGTTAACAGAAAGACGAAATGAAAAAGAGGCGACGCTTAAGGCATGACATATGATGATTATTCCCTGCTTTTTATCGGTGGGAAATTCCCTTTCAAAGATTTCTATCTGGGTTTTTTATTGAAGATAAATATAAAAATACGTTTAAAAACAAATAGTAACAAAGAAAGGAAATCGCGCATTTTCCATTTTTATTTTTCTACTTCTTACAAAACATTCTGCTGAACGCAAGAGGGAACATCCTGATATCCCAATATGCTATAGTTTTTAATTACTAAGCAATTGCTGACAATTTAAATTAAACTCAACAAGTTTCGAAAAGCTCTCACATTGAAAAATGCAAATTTCAATTTTATCAATGCAAATATTTATAATTTTTATGAGCTGAATCGAAAAAGTCAATTTTTTAACAGTTAAATTAAAATTATTTGTATACATAATTTGTAATAACTTAATTCTTTCTTAATCATGTTGTTTTAATTAAGTTTCAACAGTGACTCGTTTATAACAGCGTGTTATAGAAAGTAAAATATATTTTAGAATAACTTTAAAATTTTGATATAATTTTTTTTTTTATCAATGAATGAAATTGTTTTTTTTTTTCTTTTTGAAATCGGATAAACAGGAAAGTTAAATAACGTATATCCCGGTGTATAAGTCAACTTTTCAAGCCCCCAAAATTTTACGAAAATCAGCGGGCCGACACCGGTAGCGATTTTCTATCCAACGGCCTTGAAGGACCTGCTCTCTTGTTTAGCAATTCATGAGCTGTCCTCTGAGTCATGCAAATCCCGGTTAGTTCCATAAAAAAAAGTCCTCCACGAAGGCAAATTTTCCCAATACTTGATCCAGGAGTTTTCTTGTCTTCTGGATCGGATTCAATAATATTAATTCCCAGGTTCGAATGCCAGCAAACGGCTGGCCGATGTGAGTTCTGCACCCGACTTGCACCGACCACAGTGCTAATGTAAAATATTCCCAATGCTAGACGGATCATTGGGTTACACCCCCTTTTCTGTCGGGCTTACCGTGGGAGTTTTTTCTGATTTTCCTTTCCATTTAAAGCAAATGCTGGTTAGTTCCATAAAAACCTCTTCCTCGAAGACTAGTTTCTCCCAATGCTTGATGCAGGAGTTCCCTTGTCCTCTGGGTTGCAGTCAAAATTACAAGACTATGGAGTCGAACGCATGCAATCGTAAAATCAGGATTGAGTTGGCTGTTCTGTGACAGTTATAAAATAAATACTCCGATTCAAAGGAGTCAAAATGCATAAAACATATTAGGAAACAATGAAAAAGAAAACAGTTTCTAAAGCTTGGAATAAGAAAACCTTCTAATAAAAGTTTGGAAATTCCTAATTTGAATAATAGGATCATAATTTGGTAATGGTTTTTATTTTGATATTTTCAATTTTCTATACCTATCAGTGGCAATCGCTGCCGCTTGCTGACATCCCGATTGATTGAATTACGCAGCTCTATTCAGATGATTACTTCACTTGTTCAATGGATTACATTAAAATTCAAATACGTTTAGTTATATTCCTTAACATCAAAAAAAGAGGAAAGACAGCAAAAAAGGTAAGAAGGATTAAACGGAGATAAAAGATTAGCAATAAACTAATTCAAAATTTAGAAAAAAATATTAGTTATTTTTAAAAAATAATAATGAAATAGAGGAACACGCAGTTTAAAAAAAAATAACTTGACAAAAAAAAAAAACCGTTTTAAAACTAATGTCATAATAAAAAAATTTTTTTTATCAGAATATTTTGTAAATAATTTTTTGAAAACGTGTAAAATGTAATTTTTTTTCATCCAATAGCTTTTACGTAGCGGGTTGTTGTTGTTCTTTAAGACAAGGGGTGCGATTGTTCCAATGGCCTAGAATACGACCAAGAATCTATGGCCAAGAATACGACTTCTGCCACACACATACATTATAGGGCAGACCCATTCATAGATTCATTCATTCATCCATTCGTAATTTTGACCTGAACCAGAGAACGATCTATTTCCAATTCAGTACCCCAGAGGTATAATTTGTTTTGGGAAGATGGAGGACTTTGTGACCCTATAGATTCAACGTGCACTGCAAGGTGACTCTAAATCTTGATCCATCTACCACAGAGGATATTTTTACACCAGCGCTGTGGACAGTGCGAGCTGGGAGCAGAATTTATATCAACCAGCCATCACTGGTGTTCGAACCTGGAAATTAATTTTTTTTCTTATCAACTCCGTCGCTTTGTAATTTTGAACCTCATCCAGAAGACAAGGCAACTCCTGGATCAATTATTGGGAGATATTTTGCCTTCGTGGAGGATTTTTCTTTATTGAACTAACCCGCATTTGCGTTACATAGATAGGAAGACCACGAAAACCTCCCACTGTTTGCATGACGGCAAGGGGACTCTAACCTATGATCAGTCTACCACTGAGGATATTTTATGTCAGCACTGTGGTCGGTGCAAGCCGGATGCGGAATTCGTATAGACCAGCCATCCATGGGATTCGAACCCGGTTCAATTCGTAAGGCGAGTGCTCTATCCCCTGAGCCATCACGACTCAAATAATATTATGTGGAAGTTCGAAAATTTCGTTTTCCATTTTATTAAAAATGCCTTAAACTAGCAAAACATATTCTTGAAAACAGCAAAAAGTGTTCACAAAATTATATTTAAAAAAAAAATTATCAGTCGTTTCAATGTGGTCGTAAGACACGACTTCCAGTAGATTACCCAAGTCAAGCAGCACTAGCTGTGATCCGTGAGTGGATAGGTAGCCACTTTGATCACCCTGCGAAAGGGCCGAGGCTACGCGGTTTTGGTCGTCGTCAAACTGTTCAACTGTAATGTGCTCGACTTCGGCGCGTAGCTCGTCGGGCTACCGAAGCGGGGAGCCATCCCATCCGTCGAGGATCGAAATTGCTATGGCATATTTTCGAATCATTCTAAGGGATGTTTCTCAGACCGTCGCCAATAGCTCATATTGCTGCTCTAGAATAAAGTACTACTGGAACTATTGCTGAAACATCAGCCATTTCCCAAAATTTTGAATAATATATAATTGCATTAAAACATGCATATTAATAAAAATAAAGATGCGATTTTCTTTAAAGTGTGAAATTCATGTTAAATAGACAAATAGAAGCTCAAAAACTTAAGATAAAAAGAAAACTGCTTTGATAAATTAACGCTTATTTATATATCTATATTTACTTCAAAATTTGAATTTTGTAGAATTGCCAGAAATCAGATTATTAAAAGCTTTTTTTGTATTTTTAAATATGCAAAGAAAAAGAAAAAACTTTTGTCCAAAAGTAAATTTTTTCCCTGGTGAAGCTTCTAATGTTAAAACATCTACAAGTTAAATAATTGTTCATATTAGAAAAAAAATTCAATAGCGTACTGACATTTCTTCAATTAAATTATATACATGGCTTTATTAATCTTATTTTATCAGTTTGAAATGATGAAAAAAAAAGAAAAATATATATTAAACAAATTATTTCTATTCTAATTTTACTCCGATTCATAACTAACAAAATACCGATTCATTAGAAATTTTAAAACTTAACAATTTAAGCTAAAATTAACTATTATATTTCTATCTCCAGCTAATGAATTTCTCTGATTAAATGTTTATATGGCAGATGGCCCGGAGAATATCTAGAACTTATTGATATGTTTCATAGTTATCAAAATGAAAGAATTTAAACATGCGATATATTAATAACTTTTACATACTTATTTAAACGGAACTCTTTTTCTTCACTTCTGAGGTTGCAAAATTTATCATAAATTAGAAAGAAAAAAAAATAATTATAAATTCTGAAAATAAAATTTAAAGAAAAAATGTTTTAGAAAAAAAAAAATCATATTTTCTTTAAAATGAAATACATAATAATGCTACAATAATTAAAAATGTGCATTTCAAAATTCTAAGGACAGCTCTGATGTTAATTTAAAGATTTTCAAAATATTAATCAGACTTATTAACATAATTCTCATTTAATAAAATCCAAAAAAAAATCGCTAAAATAAAGGGGAAACTTCCCTCTAAAAGTGTTTCTTTTTCTTTTAAATCATCAAACCTCTTCTCTTAAAGTGTTTAGAAATATAAGATAAGATATAACCATTAGATTTACAACCAACCAACGTAAGTGAAAATTTAAAGGGAAAGTCCCTTTCTTCTTGAAAGAATGCCCCATCCTTACTTTTTCCGACCTCAAAAAGATAAAAACAGGTTTCATGCAAATGTCAACCAACAGAAAAGCGCTTTCTCGCCAATCCTAGCGAAAATGCCGTTTTCCCCCCTTCATCCAACGGTGAATGGGGATTCCCCTGTCCGCATCATGATTAAACAACTTTCTGATGTAAACATTTTTAAAACTAAGCTTTTGACAGTCTTCGTTCTTTATTATCTGCATAGGTTTCGTTATCTTCAAGTATTTAAGAAAATTTAATCAAGCTTGTGAATTATTTCTGACCGTGTGAGTAGCATTAAGTAGTTTATATATTTTTTCCAATTGTTTTGTCGTCTCTGCATTTTAGATATTTTATTCACATAACATAATTTTAAAAAAAAAATTATTTCAATATTTTGTCTTTTTTTGTATTATTTGGGTTTTAAATGTAACTGCAGTTTCATGCGATTCTTATATTCAAAGTTATAAGGTTTATTAAAGCTATTAATTGGTAGAATTCTTTTGACCAAGATAATTCAATATAACGTAAGTATTTAAAATAATTTTTTTTTTCAAATAGCAATAAAACATTAGATGCTAAGTTATAATATGGACAATTTATATTAATAATTTGTTGTATTGTTTAACCAAAATAATTAAACATTAAGAACATTTAGATCGTAAGATAATTAAATTATTTAAAGAATTTTCTGTAATAGCATTATAACATATACAAATTTATAAGGACAGTACAAACTATTAATAGATAAGATTATTTCAAAAAATAAATTAAATATGATTTAAGTATTAACAATATTTTTTTTTAAACGTAATAAATTTTTATATTTAAACCTACTATTAAAAAAAGTTTTCAAAGTATAAAATGTATATGCAAATATAGAAATTTTTTTTTTTTAAATATAATAGACTAACCATATGTTGTTTGAGAAATTACTTCAAAATTTTTAAAAGAAAATTAGCAAAACAATTTTTATAAGAATCATTTTTAAAATAAACGTATGTTTTTAAATTAATTTGTGCCAATTTATATTTTTTAACTTTATTGCTAAGCTTATTTCAATGGTAAAAATTAAAATAAGCAAACAAACCGCAGATTGAAAACAATTGACGTATCAACTCATTGTTCGCTAAAAGTAGTTATATGGTTTGTTTTTAATCCAATTTTATTTTGTTTACCTGTGTTGTTCATAATTTGATTGATTGTTGTACAAGAAAATTCTAATTTGTTGTAATTTAATAAATGTATTTTTTCCCGAACAAATTTTTATTTTTAAATGCTTTTATTTATTTTTTAATTGAATTATTTATTTTTTATAGGATTTTTTTATATCAACTCCTTGTTCGCTAAAATTAGTCAAATGGTTTGTTTTCATTCAAACTCTATTTTGTTTATCTATAGGTGTTGATACATTCTTGTACAAAAAAAAATTCCAATATGTTATAACAGTTTTATTTTTTTCCAAACTAACTTTTATTTTTAAATGCATTTATTTATATTTTAATTGAATTATTTATTATTTAAATGAATTTTTTAATTTATAAATTTTTGAATGATTATTTTTTTTTAAAATGGATGATTTATATTTATATAAGTGTTGTGAATTAGGTTAATGATTTCAATATTTATAATCAATATTATTATTTATTTGCTTTGAAATATATAATAACAGAATCAAGTACATAGTTAATCAAACATACGGTGCTTAAGTTATAAAAAAATATATAGAAAAATATTATGAAGATTTTATCAGTTAAAAATGTTTAAATGTTGTAAAAAAATAATTAGTACCAATTAAATCATCTTACATTTAATTTAATATGATTTTTCGCTATGAAACGAAACTATATATTTGGGAAATCATTATTTGGTATTATTTTATAACATCAATTTAAAAAAGTATTTTACTTTCAACTCAGTAAATCTCTTTAATATATATCTATTATTATTTCAATATTTCAATTCTTTTTTTAACGCTTAAAAAAGCATTTATAAGTGCGTCTATTATACTTTTTTTTATGTTAAGCATGCCTGAAATTTTTTTTCCCAACCATTTTTCTGATATGCTCTTTCAGTCCGAAGGCTTTTCAAACAGGAAATAACTATTTAACCTCATTAATTATTAATAATGGTTTTATGATTTTTTTTATTGCTTTAAACAGTAATTTTTACGTATTAAAAAAATTAAGTTGGCATAATTTAAATGAAGGTTAACTTTAAAAAATCGCGTTCGCAAGGTACTGAAAATAGGGAAATTTCCCGGTCTCATACTTCCATAAATATGATGATTCATATTTTTATTTATTTATTTTATTTATTCTTACTTGCATTACTTGAATTTGCTAACTTTTCTAGAAAAAATTATGAACGTTAGGTAAATTTTGCTTATTTTGTTATATTCATTATCTTTATTAATTTTTGTATAATTTTAGTGGAAGTTCCGACATGATGTATAAAATTAATATTATTTGTTTTTCATTGTACACATTTTATGATATACAAATTTTATCAATTGAAATTTTGATTGAGAAATCGGAACAACGAATATGCAATTAAGGTTTTTTCTAGTTATTTATTAAAGCCTTTTCTTAACGCTTTAGGTTTGCACTTAAAATTAGATTTCACCATAACACATGTATAGAGCGTTCAAAAAACACACATTTATTGTTTACATTATAAATTTGATTTTAGAAACAATTGTACAGAAACGACGTAGTTACAAAATTTATTTCAAAATTGTTTATTTATTTTTTTATCTAATCTATATAAATATTTAAAAACATTTAATGCATGCATCTTTGATGTTTATTATCGAAGAATAAATTTATGTACCTAAGTATTTGCAACTGATTTTTAAAAAATTTTTTTTTAATGTTTTCTCACTTGCTAGATGTGCAAAGATTGCTAGAAGAGCAATTCTTTTATTGCATGCTGTCATATTAACTTCCGTGAAAGACCATGTTAAATTATTTAATAAAAAGTACCTAGTTTAATAACGTTTCATCGAAACATTTCCATCGAAAATTTGCTTTATTCGATGGGATTTCTTGGATTGTCTAAACCAGTGGTTACCAACTAGTGGCCCGCGGGCCACATCCAGCCCGCGAAGCCTTCTTTTGTGGCCCACGAACTAAAATATATTAGTTGTCATTTTTTACGGACAATTTCCGTAAAAAATCTATATGGGTTTAAAATACTTTTCTTTCGTTAAAAAAACCTAATTTCTTCGTTTCTGTGAAATTTAACATACTGACGGTCCATAAGATTTATTTATCAGGTAAAAATCTGCTCCTTATTTTAATTTGTAATTCAATACTTTTGTTTGCACAACTTGTCTGACAGTAATATTTAATGTTCCTTCAAACATAAAAGAGTTCTATATGAAATTTGGATAAAGTTGCACCCCGCCATTTGACTCGTGTTTTTAATTGCGGCCCCCGGTCTCAGGTAAGTTAGAAACCCCTGGTCTAAACCAATGGTTCCCAAATCTTGTTCCGCGGAACTCTAAGGTTCCGTGTAGAGTTCGGACTTTTTATTTATTTATTTATTATTATTATTTTTTTTTACCAGGTGCGATTTTTCAAACCTGTGATTAAATTTATATCCGATCACCAATTTTTTTTTTTTCTTTTTTAGTATTTTAAGTTTTATTCTCCACGCATAATTATAATAATTAATTATAATATTTCTTTATCATTGGTAGATAATTAATTGTTATGTGAATTATAAATATGATAAAAATAAGAGAGGTAAATTAAAGTGATTTTTACTGTGATATACAAGGCATATGATCGAATAAGTGAGAATGCCATGTCGCTTATAAGGCGACATTGATCCGTTAAGAGATAAACTTTTAAACTACGATGGACATATATTTAATAAACAATAATGAACATGAAAATCGGACACCTAATTTTATAGCTTAGTTGTATGGCTCCGTTTTTATGTAGAATGAGTTCCTATATTTCTTCTCCTTAAATTATGTGTAAATCAAACAAAAAACACGCTGATAATAAATATGAGTTTCTTCGTGAAAAAAAAACAAGGAAAAATATTCACACAATTATTCAACAAAGCTCTCCATTCGCTTTGTCATGCTGATTTCATTCCTTCAACTCAATGTATTGTAAATATAATTACTTTTCCAACCTCTTAAGGGAAATTCCACTTACTCTACGTTCCACTTTAGGGAAAAATAGGGAAACTCATCAGCTCGTTCTACAAATTATTTTTCCTGTGCTATTTTCGATTTAAACATTAGGTTCGCTTTATATGCTCATAAGCATTAATGCATCCGAGGGGAAGGCCCAGAGGTCAATGAATTGGAATAATGAAACTTTTGTTCCAATATTTTATAAAGCTGTTCCTTCTTCATTTACATTCTTTTTCTTGCCAATTTTTCCTATTCAAAAATATATTTATATAATATATACAAATAAATATAATATAAACAAATAAATATAATATATACAAATAAATATAATATATACAAAAATATAATATATACAAATAAATTATAATCCTATTCGAATAAGTTAAGAATAATAATGTGCAAACGATTCCAATAAAACCAGCATTTTCACTTCTTTATTTTAAATGGTAATTTTTGTATTTCAACATTATTTAGATATTTTGAAAGGCCGCGACCAAATCTTTTAAGTTTTAGAAATTTGATTATGTATTATTGTGAAACTATAAAATTTACAGACGCTGTTTCGTGCTTCGTTCCATTCTGAAAAACAGTTTTAAGAATTATCGTTTTTATCAGATAATCGATATTTTTACCAGCTAATAAGTATATTATTGCTGTTGCATGACTTTTCATCTCGTTTGCTTAAAAATAGTCATATTTACTGAACGTCTATTTTTCATTTTAAAAAAATAAGCAACCTTTTTTTAACGCAATATTTATTAGTTTGCACATAGTTGAGTTAAAAATATGTACATTATTAAGTAACACAATTACTGAAAACTGAATCTCTCCTTTACAAGTAAAAGCTCTTAGGCTGATAATAAAATATGAAAATACTTTTTTAATTAGCTAGGCGCAAAGCAAAATGTCGGTGGTTGTTTGCTAAATGATGAATTTCTAATTGCCCTACTGTAAATAAATAAATAAGATTAACATATGATTATGATGTTTACCCTAAAATTCTAGAATTTTTCCATATCCAAATCATAAAATTCTAGAATTACTATTGCTTAACAATTTCGAAGCCAGTTGTTTAAATATACAACTCCGCGACTTCTACTCACTTAAAATATCTACCAAGTACCAAAAAAGTGT